AGGAATCAAATCATCCAGTGATTGATGGAAGAGATCCTCATTAATGCTGAATTGTCATTCCTTGATTTCTTGTTTATACCTTTGCAATTCTATGTCTTTCAAGTTAGTGGTTTTCTCTTAAAATACCTAAACTTGTCTGAACTGTGCAACCTCTCTCTGTTTTCCCTTTCTCGTCTTGTGTGACTCAACTCTGTAGCTTTACTTATGACTTTGTTACAAGTGATAGCCTAACCCTTGGGCGGGCCATCATTACCCAGAAGTAGTCAAGCAGACCCCATTATTTGGTGTTGACTCTGCATTTCAAATGTAATGTAATTTCCATTGCTCATCAAGACCTTCCTAATAATTAGAATTAGTAACTCCACATCCTCTTTTCCAGGCAGAAAATAATGCCTTTCAGCTGAGCATACCAGTTGTCATGCATGACTGTGCCAGTGTTCAGTGTTCTAAGAACCGCATGACTTCTTCTAATACAAAAGGCATTCACTATTCTGAATCCTTGTAGGAAAAGTGAAATAAAATTACATACTTATCACTTGTTTCAAAATACTTATACACATTCCATCACCTTTCTTTCTGCTTTGGAGTCTTGCCAGACCAATAAATCTTCCTTTAGAGGTGAAATTAGAATAAAAGACATCCTTTTAAATCTTTGCCTTCTTCAAAGGATTCTTGAGACTAAAATGCTTATTAGGTCACTGCCAATTAAAACTGTGCTCATATGTATGAAGTGCTAGGAAAAACAACATGCAGGCCACACATCATGAAGGATCCTTGTTATCAGGAAGCTATTGTTAACTTCTGTAATGAAGAGACAGTAGATATCATGCTGTAGACAGCCATGTGATCCTGTCTACCTCAGGCAAATACTGAGACTGGTAGACCTTTATGAACCAAGGTTCACAAAAGGTCCACTCTCCAGTGGTGGGCAGTAGTGGACAACAGACCTGACATCTGTCATGTCTAGAAAAATCCAGTAAACAGATCAAATCCTACCAAAAAAACCCAAAAAACCCAAAAACAAAACCAAACAAAACAAACCAAAAAATAACCCTGCAAAATTAAGTTTCTTCAGGCAGAGTGATCTGCAAATCTCCTGATAGATGACTGAAAATGTCAGTGCACATCTCTTAGACAGGACATTGGCTAAGACATTGATAATCCCTCACCCAGTGGGGGGCACTGAGGCCTTTGTGTCTTCTGCGTTTCTTCCATTTCTTAAAAAGGAATGAATACCATCAAAACTTCCAACAACCACCTAAAATGCAAAATCCTGATGAAGATTCAATAGCCCTATATGATGGAGAGCTTTCCAAGAAAAAAAGACTCAGTGATACATCATACCAGGCACTTTTCACAGCCAAGAATCTGTAGACAGGAAGTATTAAAAAAAACAGGTAAATTCCCTGTTCTGTACTACTGCCAAAAGAGGAAGGTTAAATGGCTCTAGAGGACACATTAAGGTTTTCAGTATTAAAGCAAACTAGTGCAACCCAAAGAAGAATGGAAAGATTGTTTATATAGTCTCTTCAGATTGCTTGCAGTGCTCAGCATAATTGCATGCCTGTAGATTAGCAATGAATAGGCAATACCCTTGTTAACAAAATCTCCATTGCTTTACATTTAGCATGAGAGACCAGAGTCTTCCTTTTTTAATAGAGCATTGCACTGAGGGAGTTGCCCTGTTAGTGAAAAGAGAATGTCTTTAGCTATTGACTTTTTCTTTCTTACTTTCAAAAAAGTAGATAAAAAAATATAGCTGTTTTTTTAATTCTACCACAGAAGTTAGAGCAGGGATGAGAGCTCCCATAAAAGGCCAGAGCAGGCAAATTATTGGAAGTATTACAGAACCACAGAGCACAAATTGTTACCCAGCTCAGAACTAAAGGCTTGCATAGGCATGCCATACTTTGTGTTGGCAAAACCAATGAAGACCATTGCAGAAGCTTCATTTAAGTTAAAGCCTGAGCAGGCACAGGTTGAAGTAGAGGAGGTTTATATTGGCTATTAGGAAAAATTTCTTCACAGCAGGAGTTGTCAAGCATCGGAACAGGCTGCTCAAGGAAGTGGTTGAATCACCAGCCCTGGAGGTATGTATAAATCATGAGGATGTGGCACTCAGACCTGGTTGAGTGGTGGACTGGGCAGTGTTGGATTAACAGTTGGACTCAGTGTTAATCCAATCTGAATGAATCTACATGATGCACTCAAGAAATACTCCCAAGAAAGAACTACCACGTTCTTGATGGTGATGAGTTTCTGACAACAAAATATAAAAAAAAATGCACCACAGGAAAAAGAAGAAAGCTACAGACTTCCAGCATGCTTCTACAGCATCAAGTGTTCTTTTTTATAGCTAAATAATAATAATAAAACAAATGCAAGGGTGGTTTGTAAAGGAAATACTTATGTAATACGAAGATAGCAAAAGGCTGGTTGGCGAGATTAATGCCAAAAGGACACTTACATAAATCATTGTCAAAGCAGCTTGGCCCTATGTTCCTAAGAATTTTTTAAAAGCCATTTATTTTTAAAAAGGTTAAAGCAATTTTTGTTCCTCTAAATCTTATATGAAGATGTTTCTGTATTTTATTTTTTCTCTACACAATGCATGTTCCAACAGTAAGGAGAGCCAGGGAATTAGTAGCAGCTGCTAAAATGATTATCTAGTTCCTTGAGGAAAGTCAGATGATTGGGATTATATGTCATATTTCTACACTTGCACTAAGAATCAGTCCATTATAGAAACAGGCATAAGAAACTTTATTGAGTATAAGAATACAAAAATTGACACATTAAACTGTACAAAAGGTACACTAGCACTAAATGAGGCAACTGTATCTACACAAGAGCCAACATTTACAAATGACTCATACTACTGAAATGTACAGGTGCCATGGTACTTTCTCATTAAGACTTTATATTCCAATAAAGAAACAAAACCAAAACCAAGTTATTATGTTCTAGTGCCTACTCCCTAAATTTAGAAGCCATATTCCAGAACACAAATCAAAAATAACTGCCTGACTTTCAATATATCACAGGGAAAACATGTTGAACAAGGATTTAACAATTCCCTCAATTTTTAAATTGTGAAGACATAGGACCTAGTAAACACTGGCTGAAGTTGATCTGTTATATTACAACACACAGCCCCATAGTATTTTACAGAAGCTAGATTCAAATGTGAGGTGGTTCTAAAGGCAGTTTAGCTTAACTGACATATAGACCAATAACAATAACACATTGCCAATGTTACTAACATGGATTTTTTTTTATTATTATTTGGACTACTTTAATTTCAGAATGTTACATTGGCCAGTACATTAAGCGGCATTATGATTTTGATTCTTTGACCCATGTTCAGTAAGTTTAATATAAAGTCCTCGGAAATGCCATTTATTTTGCTTTCATTTAATCAACTGACTACTGCACATGGCAAGGAACCTGCAGATGCTAAAAACACAAGATCAGTTACAGAAGCAGAGACAAACAGGTATGGGGGAGTAAAAAGAGAGATAATAGTCCCTAAACAAGCACCTAGTTTAAAGGAATGTGGCTGTCATATACAGCTCCATTAGATTGCTACATTGCTTTAGATAACAAAAATGTTAAAGAGATCACAAAAGGAAAAAACTTCCAAAGGGAAGGAACTGGGATGTAGCAAAGACTAGTTTGTTACAGAAGACAAAAAGTAAGAGTCTGTAAAGATAAGAGAAAAGAGGACAATAAAAGAAAGCATAAACACTTCCCACCTTTCAGAAGACTTCTAGCTGTCAAAATTCTGGAGTATAAAAAAGGAACAGAAAATTAGAAGTTTAAATAACATCATCATTATCATATCTGAAGCAAAATACTTGTACCAGGGCCAGAAGATTCACACACTATATTAAGGACAACTGAGTTTTAAACTCATTCTTCAAAAATAACTTAGCATTAGACAATTCAGTTTTTATTTGCAGTTCAGTTTTTATTTGCAGTCCGTGTTTAGATGGTCTAACACAAATTTTGTTGTATATTCTAGGGATCTGTGTTTCATTCAAATATTGCAGAATTACAGAGCAGTTTCCTTTATCAGCTGCTAAAAGCCTGTAAACAAACTGCAATATTGTTTTTATCTTTGTATATTTGAATGTCTGACCTCTAAAAACAACACTCAAATACTTCAATGCTTTCATTAGGAAATACCATCACAAACTATCCAAGATATGAATGCTGGGTTTTATTTATTTTTTAACACAAAATTATACACAGAATAGATAAAAATATACTACTTTCACATAGCATCAATCTGCTTTCTTCAAAGTATTTGGACAGAGCTGGCCATACACTAATTTTACTATTACTTTCCTGAAGAAGAAAAGTCAAGGAGTCTGTCCAACAGGCCTAACAAGAAGAATACAGACATTTTAGACCATTTTGTTGTATCTAAGATGAAGTAAACCTATAACTGATTAGATATACAGCCAGAATTAATATGATGTCCTATTTAGAACTTTCTCAGGTACACATATTGAAGATGTTCAGTGACGTTTCATCTGGGAGTATAAGCAGTTAAAGACAAAACTTGGTTTTCAAACTACTGTGTTTCTTTTTCTAGATTATTTACAAGATTACTATATTACTAATCTTTTCAAAAGAAGTTTTGAGTTTTTACTCATGTAAGAGGTGTCTCTGTGCAGTTTGATAGTAACAGAACAAGCAGGAGACAGACATTTACATTTAGTCTTGCTAGTAAAATAAGGCCTGGGGGAGGATGTGAGCTGTCTGTGATGCATGTGCCCTGAATGCATACATATGCTATTAAAAGTACAAAGTCTGAGCAAAGCATTTTTTTTAACAAAATGCAAGTACATTGTTTAATTCTTGAATGTATTTGTGTCAAGAAAACAAAGAATGTTCATAACTACTTCCTTCCACTTAAAACCAATTTCAGTGCTAAACACAGGTAGCACACATCCCTTTAGAAGGCACCCTACTAGAGCTTCAGAAATGCGACATTTTTATCTTCATCTTTCTAGTGATTAGAGACCTTCAGCCTTCTTTTTATAACTGTCTAGGATGCTGGTCAAGTCTGACAATAGATCTTCAGGCATGAATTCTTCATCCTCTCTGTAAATTTTCACGTTCTGTTCATCAAGATATTTCTAGAAAAGAGGTATGGAAAGCTTTATTAGTTCCATAATAATCTGTATTTTACTGATTCTGCTAAAACATTTTAACTAGTTATTGCACAGGTTAACCATTTTCAGTTAAACAGTTTCCTGAAAGACATTTACCAGAAGCAGGTTTAACCTGACAGGATGTTACTGCTAAAATTTAACAATCAATTCTGATTATTTATACCAAAGGTTTTGTCAGAAAATTTAACTAGAATCCATGGACTCAGTGCAGCAGCTACATAACTTTTCCTTAAAAAGAGTAAGCTCTAATTTCCAAGTGTTTAGCTGCAAATGTTTCTAGCAAGATTTAATTCTGAATATCAAGTTCTAGCTTACCACTATAGATGCTATATGAGTAGCAACTGTTTCTATAAGACGACTCAAGTTAGCACCAATTCTTCTCTTCTCTTCTGTTGTTGTTTGCAAAACAACTTGATATCTAAAAAGTAAAGATACTCAGAAGGTCAAATCCATAATTAGAGAATTCCTGACATTTAAAACAATCACTTCAAGTCTGATTTATCATTATGTTTAGCCATACTTTTTTTCTATTAGTATTAATTTGAACAAAGTTAGAATATATTAATACTCAACATAAAAAAAACCAAAAGGACTGTATTGCACTAACTGATAAGAAACAATGTACCTTAGAGTCTGAATACTCTTTCCAGACTTTGAGGTATAAAATTTAATTGTCACTTAAGTTTGGAAATAAACTAATTTCTTTGCTACAAACATACATATAAAAAAATACATGGAAAACAGGAGTTCTAATAAATCAGACAAATATTCTAGCAAAACACTGTTGAGTAGAAACATCTTTCAATTATTAACTTGTGAAATTAATACATTGAGATGGATACAAGCTGAAACAACTTTATGTTAAATTCAAGAGAGTATCTTTGGCCTTAAAAACCAAAATAAACAAGACAAACTTGGAAGTTACAAGTCTTACTGTCTTTGGAGATCATGCAATTCATTTGTGGCTTCACTGAGACCATCATAGACACCACTCTCAAGTAACTGTTTATGCTTCTTTAACGATTCCAGTTCATTTGCACATTTTTGCTCTTCCTCTTCTATCTCCTATAGTCATAAGGAAAGAGGAGAAAAAAATGGCTTGTCTCAGGAATAATTTGATTTTTTTCCTTCTTTCTATTATCTGACTACATCCTAATGCTTGAATTCAAAATTCACACAAGTCCAAGTTCCGAACTGAAAAAATAAAAAAAAAAAAACCCAAGGACATCCTTCCCAAACCTAAAGTTTCAGCTATTTTCTGTATTATCCCCATCCCAGAATAAGCCCAACCATCCCTTTATTCCTCTAAACATATTTAAGGGCCTGTGTTGCAGCTATTTTCCCTTCAGATTCAAACTCAAAAAGTGTTGTTTAGATAATAGAAAATACAACCACATTTGAGTAAGAAAATAGCTTTTCCTTTTTGCCTGAGAGTACAATTCAAGTAATAATCTCATCAAGGAGAATGACATTGTTGATGCTATACAATCTACAAAACCAAACAAAATTCTGATGTCAACTCAACATGAAATTCTGGTAGATTACTGAAACAGCCTTCAAAAATAATTTCCATACTTAAGACTTACAAACAACATTTTAAAAATTACAAGACATAGTCATGTAATTCCTCTTATTACAAACATCCGGTGGCAAGTGTGTATTTTATAAGCTTAACTTTAGAGAAAACACAGATCAAAAGCTAAGTGTCATGTGGTTTTGAAAAATATAAAATAAATTAATTGCCTTTATATACCTATACATACCTGCCTCAGCAGGTATTAGCAGTGAAATAACCCTGTTTCATGGCTATAGCACAGAAATTTGGATTTGCAAGAGCATATATGGTAAATACTGGCTTAGTTCAAAGAACATTTTTCTGCAGGGCACCACAGCCCCACTAAAGCAGTGTTGTCAGAGAAGCTGGGAGGTACCAAAATAGCCACTCAGTTGTTAACAGAGAGGGCTATGTTTTGTTGCTGAACTGCAAGTGAGGAAAAGGATAGGGGCTACTCCTGTGTTGGGAAAGGAAGCTAAAGGAAGCAACAGTTTGAGATAATTAAAACAATTTAACATGCTCTTGGTCAATGTTTTCCTTAGTTTTTACAGAAGCTACTTAAGCATGTTTACTAAAAACTGTAACTGTATTTATTATATGCAAATTGATTATACAAGACAGATGCTGTTAATCCTAAAATTTCCTTCAAGCACGTGCCCAGAGACATCCTGAGGTCAGATGAATGTTGCTGCTTTTATTACTGGATGCAGTAATTTATGATTTACAGTGTCTATTACAGTATGATGCCAGATTCTCTTACAAGAAAGTGAAAACCGATTCAGTTAAGGCAGTAGCCAAATCACTTTTCTGAAAAGAATGAAAAAATCCTGTAGGAGGAAGGGAAGAAGGCAAAGGCAGAAGTCCAAACAAAAATACAACCCAAAAGCTTAACTATAAATACAAAAATTAAAGATAAGGGTATCATTAAGGATAAGTTGTCATCAAGCTGTAAGTAGTTCTACCTTAAGCTTCTGCTGGTAGAGATCATCCAGCTTTTCAGCTTCTTCTGTCAGCATTTTCACACTGCGTTTCTTGTCCTCTAGCATTACGTTCACCTAGGATGAAAACATACCAAGGAAATATGGTTCAAAAAGAATGCCAACATATAAATCCATGCCATCACAAACTGCACCTGGTAGCTTCCAAAAAACAATTAGGGTAGGCTGGAATGGCATTACCTTTCTTCATAGCAGCCTGTATTATGCTTTGTTTTGGATAAGGGGCTAAACCAGTGCTGGTAACACACCACTGGTTTGGCTACTGCTGAATAGTACTAGCACAGCATTCCAAGGCTTTCTATCCCTCCCAGAGCCATCAGAGAGTAGGGTATGGATAGGCAAGAGACTGGGAAATGCATAGCCAGGCCAGCTGGCCAAGAGGACCTTCCATACCACATAACATCATGCTCAGCAATAAAAACTGAGCACGAGGTAAAGGTAGAAGAACAAGGAAATAAAATTCTCCTTCTTTCAGTCCGGACAACTTATTAAAAACAAATACTTCCAATGTTTATAGTCAAATATACGTAAGCTACGTAAACTTTAATTCAGAGAATACACAATATTTCAACCAACGAAGACCCCAGTTCTTAGAAAAACTTCTAGGTTCCATCACAATTAAAGCAGTTTTCTCACAGCTTCTCCCCCTCTACTTGTCCTCAGAAAAACCCCAACCAATCCAAGAAACCAACCCATCACTTTACACTTTACCCATGCAAAAGGTTGAATTAAAGCAGCAGATAAGGTTTTTAGGTTGGTATCTTAGTCCTAATCTCCATTAACCAACGCACCTGATCCAAAGATTCTTTCAAAGTAATTTTCCATTCAGTAGCTTTACTAATTTCTTCCTCAGTCTCATTGATGATCCTCACAAGGGGCGCCTGTAATATGCATACAAAAAGATCTGACAAGTACAATTTGCTTATTTGAACTAAGATGCACCCCTTTATTTTTTTTGGGCTACTGTATTCTCCAATACCAAATTTCTTTCACATCCTACAATGTCATTATGGTGACTCATCACACAAGCTTTTCAAAGACATTTCATTGTGAGATTGAGGGACCTTCCCAGCATTTCCAAAAAAAACACATATATTTTGTGAGTGGTAACTAAAGCCTTCAGTGTTGACTCCACTTACCTTGATCTCAGCTCTGTATTTGGCTAGGCAATTTGGTCCTTCCTCAGGATTAAACTGAATCTCAAAGTTGCAGCCTTTGGAATTCTCAACACTTGCTGGAATTAATTTCAGCTTTCGAGCCAGTTTATGATACTCTGCCAATTGCATTTCAATCTGCTCAGAGGAGAAAAGGGCAGAAATCATAGAAGAGATACAAGTGAAAAGCTTTGCAAGAAGTATTCATATAGTACTTTAAACGAATTCCTGAGTTGCTCTCTATAGCCATGATTCCTTGTTACTCCACAGTATTCAAGAGCTCTCTGCAATGCCAGTCCAGCAGTTTGCTGCATTAGATACTACTCTATGATTCTTTCAGAGTTTGCACACTGAATGGTTTCACCTGTGGTTTTCCATATTCATCTGCCATTTTTCCTGCCTCAAGTTCTTGAGAATTAGCTCATAGGAAACTAAAAACATGCTGGAAAATAATACTAAACCAATGACTGGTCATCAGTTCAATACACCTTCTCTCATTAGCTTTGACAGGAAATTCCACACAGCCACACATCCTAACAACAAACTAACTTGAGCATACAACTAAACAAAGCTTATTAAATGCTCTGATTTCTAATTAATGAGTGTTATTAAATTAAAAATTGAAGAACCCAAGAGTTTTTTTCCAGTTTTACATGCTTCATACTTGCACATGAGGATTTAAGTTAAGACAAATGCTTGATAAAGGGTAAGCCTACCAAATATATTTGAAACTTTTTTCTTTAGTTCTCCAGTTGACAACGCAGAAGTTTTTAAATCCCATCACTTACAGGACTATAACTTTTCATTCTGTTTGAAGGGATTGAACTTGGCCCTTGAAAGCTGTTACAACTTCTACACAAAGAACTAATCAGGCTCTAAATGCATGCAAAGCTATTGATTAATTAGTTTTGCCTTACTTCCTTGCTCTGAAATATTAACATTAGCCTGTAACTTCTTGTGTTATTAAAGCAATGGCATGGAAATGTTATCAAAGCTCTTAATGCTATAGCAGTGAGAGTTGACAATGCTTCATAATCTATATACATCTCTTATGATGCAGAAAAAAAATACACATTTCCATTAAGCACAAACGAAAAAAGGGAAAAAAACCCACTTTTTTCAGAGATATTGTAAAAAGAGGCCATTCTTGTCAGCTTTGTCTGGTTAGATACATGTACGGTGTTGTAAGATTATTTAGGAAAGAAATTATCAAGACTCCAGTTTTAAGCTTGCATGATGAAAACTGATAGCCACTCTGAGTGTAGTTGGGTTTTCACATACCGCCTCTTTATTCCTAGCATATTTTAACTCTTCATTCCACAGCTGATGTTGCTCTGCTTCCAGTTCCTTAGTCAGCTTGTTAATGGTTTCTTGCAGCTCATTTCTCTCATGATTTACTCTTTCAATGTCCGCAGCTGAGTACTTTTGGTTATCTAAGATGTGCTGGAGCCGGGCATTCTCCTGCTTCATGGCTTCTACTTCCATTTCTAAGTTCATAAAACATTTGTGAAATGGACATAAAATACCAGCTGATATACATAAACCTCACCTCTGTATTTTATGAGCAAATAACATAATTATTACATATCATTACCTTTCATTACTCTAGTGTACAAAGAGCTATTAGACAAAAAAAATCTTTATTAGCAATCCATTCTGGAAAGTTTATTTGTTGCATCATCCTATTCCAAGTATCTTGCTCTGTCCTCAAGCTAAGAACTACAATTATTTGAAGGTTCTTTGTAGCTCCACTCTCCTGACTGTAATCAAGGCCTCCTTACCTGCTGTCTCAACTTCATCATGAACACTTTCCAACTTTTGATCAAGGATGGCTACATGAGATTCCAGATTAGTCAAATAAGCCTGGTATTTCTGGACATCTGCTTGAAGAGATGATTTCACATTTCGTAGCGTCACTCTACGATCCTAGGAAATGTGTGAAAAGAACAACCACTCTTGGATAAATATAAAATAATGACTTCACTTTCAGATAAGACAGTAGAGTAACTGGTCAATAGCAATAGCATAAATATAAAACTAAAGAACTTTAACAATTTTTTTATCTCTGTGACAGCTAAGTCAAGTCAAACACCTTTAAAATAACAGCAAAGAAGGATGAAAAGATTCTTGCATTTCAGCATTGTCTCTCATTAGCATCAGATACTACATTTAGACAATTCTTACTACAGGTAGTTCACAACTCTAATAATATATGGATGACAGATAAAATGAGGGCATGGAAGGCCAGGAATAAACTCTGCACATTTTGCACAGTTGGCAGGAGTCTCCATTTGCCACCTGCATAGCTGCTAATCCATTTTTAAACTCATGACGCATTAAAAGCTGAATCCATCTTTTCAAGCAAAATATTTTCCATAAAATATATTGTTACCACTGAATCCCATGCCTCATACTAACAGATTTGAAAAATAAGGTTGAAATTTATATTAAAAAAAGTGGTTCAAGTATTTTATCAATATTTCAGACAATACCTTATTACCTGGAAAAATCTGCACATTACTGAACAAATAGTGACTGAACACTCCACACAAAAAACATTGTTCTATAATGGTATAGAGTCTGTAAAAACCTGGCCTAATCAAAATCTCAAAGCACTGAGAGTTTTCCATTTGTTATGTATCGTTAAGTGTCTTCATTCAGAAATGGTCAATATTATAAAATTCAACTCCACCATAAAAAACGGACACCAAATTTACTAACCGGCTCACTTTCCTTTTCTTTTTCTAGTCTTGCAATCTCTTCTTGAAGTCTTTTGTTTTCAGCTGCTAAGCTTTCAATCTGGAATGGATCTATATTAAATAAATCCTCTGTGGGAGAGCAGAAGAGAGTGGGGTTACAAATTCATCTCAATAGCACCACCTATTTTGACTATCTGAACTTTAGCTTCAGCACAGTAAATACCCATTATCTGGATAATTATTTTACACTAAAGAAATAACTAAAAACAACCAAGAAACTTATCAACTTATCAGAAAAACCTTTAGTTAAAACGCAACCAGGCAAAAGTCCCAAAACAAGAAGAGAAATGGGTTTCTCAGTCCTTATGTCAGAAAGAGTCCTCGTGTCAAAGTCACTCCCAAGTGGTAAGGGTTTCCAAACTCTCATACAGTTCACACCACAGGAGAGTATACAAGTCAGGACTACCTTCTGAAGCTAGAACAAATCAAACTTATTTAACAACCTCTTTCTTATCTATATACTTCCTTGCTTCTTGAGACATCTTTTCCCTAACTTCACTTGGCCTTTGCCAAACAACGGGATGATTATTTCTTCCAAATATCCACTAACAGTACACAGTAGCTTGTTTACTGTCGAACTGATGGCTTCAGTTTGCAAAAAAAAGGCTCCTAGGCTGGGTTTTCATAGGAGAGCAAAGAAATTAAGAAATATTTTTCTTCCTTGTTATCACATTCAGTTTGTATTTCTGTAGGTGGTAAAATGAGTGAGTCAAAAAATGCTAATAATTTTCTACCTCCCTGAAGACAAACACAGGTGCATGCTGAATTACACCCAGAAACCCTCACAACAGTTTGGAACTCTTGCAGACTGTTTTCAGATCATTCAAAAACTGAACTTACATATCAGGTGTGCATGCTCTGAAAATATATATATATTTTTTTAAATTGTTAACTTTGCCAGACAGAGACAAGAGTCATCTGCATAGATGGAGTTCACATCTGAAGAACTGTATACTAGTTTTATGTAACAAAGCCATTAAAAAAACAGCTGACACAGCTACAGCTGATAGCAGATTATGACCTGTGCATCTGTACCACTAAAAATATATTAAAAAAGAGAGCATTAAGTTGAAGTAACGGAAAGGTACTTAGGAATTTCAGACTCCTTTAGATCACTTTCACTTGTAAATTGAACAAACTGATGCTAGGAGAAAAGAAACCAGTAACACAATTGAATACTTAAAACTTGAAAACTTACTTAATTTTGACTGCACTTCAGCATCCAACTCTTCAAAGGTATCTCTCCCTTTCATGAAAAGATCATAGCACTTCACACAGTAGTCCATGAAAAGCTGAAAACAATTTAAAATCTTTCATTTCAACAATTCCAAGGCCTGTAAAATCTCTGGATAGTCTAAAGCTACTCAATCAGTGAAATTAACAGACACCAAAATATCTTTCAATGCTTTGATTGTACTTTCATAAACTTAAACTTTTTGCTCCCTTTGAACATAGAATGTCAACAGATTATATTCAGGCAGAAGGAGACACCTATAATTAACATTAAGAAAGATCTGGGAATACTGTATTTTTCTGGGATATTTAAGAAGGATTGTAGGTACAATATTTAAGATTTTTTCATCTTGATGCATATGATTCTCTCAGGCTAGTTTATGGAAACTGGAGATCTCTTTAACAGACCTCTTCAATAAATATGACCATTACAATTCAGATCTGCAGATGTCAAAGTACTTACCTATAATGAAAGATTATGCAAAAAGAATTTGCTAGACCCTAAGTTACAGAAGTTTCAGAAGCAATTACACCAGTATTGTGAATTTTGTATCAACATATATGCATAAGTGTCAATGTAGAAGAATATATTTAGTTGAAAAGCAGTTTTACTTGACAACCATCATGTTGCAAACTTAGTACAAAATTGTGATTTTACTTTATTTTTGCAATTTCTAATTAAATGTTTTAGCTTATAATGCGACCCTCTCCAAACACATGCTGTGAATTAACACTGAGTTATATCTGAGTAGTACTAATAATCCATGATCAATTAAAAAGAAAGCAAGCTGTTGGATTTTTAAGAGCCTGAATTACACTGCCACCCTATTTTGTGGCTCAGAAATAAAACTTTACAACTAATTTTTACACAGTAAACTGAGTAGGTATTGACACAAGTCACTATATTTAGAATTCAGTCTCTGTCTTTGCACTGCACTGCTGTTAACATCAGAAGTCTTGAGTGCTAAAGCAAAATATATCAGAACCTCTACTAAAACAATAAACAGCATAGTTATTCCCTTTCTTCACAAAGGAGAACTGAAACAGTAGATACTTGGAGAATAAGGTGAATATAAAATAAGGAGAATATTTTGTTTAATACCCAGTCTTCACCAATAGACTGGCCATGATACCTGCTCAGGAAATAGTTGATCAGGTTTTTTAGATAATACTACTCTACTTCCTCGAAAGCATTGTGAATATAAAAGGAAACAGAATCTATAAACACTGGACACAACAATCTAAACTGTATTTAAATTGTGTTGTTACATCACGTGGCAAAATTCAGTTGAGCAATTCTGGTTCTAATTTCCTTTATGGTACCTTATTATGTACAATTCCATCATCTGTCTCTCCTCCCCAGCTCTGTCTGTCATCGAATGATGGTGCATTTTCCCTGATGGCATTGTACAGCTGAAAAACAGAAGTGCACACACAAAGAACAAATGTGAAGACATCCATTAGGTTTTCATATTGGTTTCATGAAAAGAAGCAGAGTAACAATGTATTAGGATTTCAGCAAGCAGGCTGGAATGAGCCTGTGTTGAGTTGACTAAACGCACAGGTAAGGAGGCATGAAGTGGACAGTCAAGGCTGCCAAATTGTCTTGTGTCTTTTGAGCAAAAAAAGGACAGAATTTTCATGAGTGCTCAGCTCAGCAGTGGTCAACTTCTGTGACAGATGTCAAATTTTGCTCAGACCTGAGCTGGCAGCAACAACAGCCAACACTACTAAAAAACTCAAACCAAACAAAACCAAAATTAAATAAAAACATTACCCCCAAATACAAAACTCGCCACTTTGTATCAGAATCACAGGACATTTGAATAATTTCCACTGAAAATGCCATGCTTAGATTTCAAATTTAGGAAAGAATGGCAGATGCCACAACATTTGCACTGAAGATACACATTCTATTCAATGATTATACTCATTAACTTTTCACATTTAATGTATGTATAAATCAGCATTTCTCCACCTTTTTTTATACATGAATTTACATAGTGCATACATTTAAAGAAAAAAATTATCACAATAAAACATGAAAAGCTCACTTTAACAGTTACTAAATATAAGGCTAAGGGCCAGCTCCCAGATGACAGCTAAGAACATATAAGTTCATATTTATGTTAAACAAGGAGATAAGTAGAAAATATTTACTAGATCTGTATTAAAATTAACATTTCAGCCTGGAAAGGGAAAATATTTAAGACAAACATTACCTTGACACAATCAATTAGCCAAACCAAAGCTGCCACTATCTGAGGCCAGGTGTGTGGTGCTCCCACAGTGTACATGGAGCTTTTTGACAGAGCAAAGGGGTACCTGTAAGGCCAAGGAAGATACATTTTTAATAACTGTGGCAGACAGTGATGAAAACAAACCAGCACATTTTGAAAATAAAGCAGCACATTTTTATATGGAGATGAAAGCCCAGAAGAAAGAGCAAACTCAACTCTATTGTACTTCAAAGGAAGTAAGTTGAGCTCTTACAGCACTATTTTATTCAATATCATGCGCATCTCATTTTGTGATTCATAGAATATCTTGGTTTGAAAGGGATCCCAAAGGATCAACAAATCCAACTCCCTGCTCCTCATAGGACTGCCTTCAAACCATATGATCAAAAGTGTCATCCAGATACTCCTTGAACTCCCAAAACTTTAAGTGACTTGTCAGGATTAGTAATTTTGTCCAGAATTACACTCTTGGTGCAGCAGAGTATAATCCTTTTCAACATTTCAAGCTAGGTCAACAGTTTTAAATGTTACAGATTAAAACACAATTTTATTAAAATGCTGAAAAGTGAACAAAACATTTAAGGAGCCCTGGCACTTTCACACTATCATGGGTTCAAATCTACAGGAGTAAAACACACTTTTTTTTTTTTTTTAAACGAGACTGAAAATTCACAATTATCAACAAGTAGAGGATTTTCTTTTCTGGAAACCATTGGGGCATTAATGATTTCTAGCACTGAACAAATTCAGCAATAAACCACTCAGCAACTTAGTGTTTGTCTCACCTCGACAGTAATTTTTGTTATTTTCACATTCTGCTTTGAAAGCAGAATGAGAAAAATTGCAGGAAAAATATATTTTAAACTAAATTAAATTTGTGTAAACTAAAGTAAATTGAATTGTCTTGATTCTGGGAATTCTGGAAATTTTAGCTCTGAGATTCTAACAGAATGGTCTGTAAAAGAAAATTGTGTCTTGTCTTTCAAAGTTTTATACAAATAATCAATTAAATTTTACATTCCAAAGCAAGATTCCAAGAGTGTATAGTTCTGCAAGTTCAAATATAAAATATAAAATGTTCTGCAAGTTCGAATATAAAATGTTTATCAGACACCGAAAATAAGAGAGCAAACCTAGAGCTAAACAAAAGTGAAACAAAACAATCAGCACGTTGTACTTTTAGAATCTCATTTGAATAAAGAAAAATATCCATTCTTCTCAGCTATCAATGCAGAATTCTTAGCTTCTAAATTTCTAGCCATAGCATATCTATTCAGCCCAGGAGACTAACAATAATCATCTTACCCAAGGTCTTTAAAAACTTTGGGAATTTCCTCTTCAAATTTTGAGTCAGGCAGCTCATAAGAAGGGCAGAGGAATTTATAGATAAAGGTGAAGATCTTTAAAAAGTCCTTAACAGATGGAGATTGTAGCGATTTCATGGAAACATTGTGGACATAAGCATTCTCACTGAGGAACTGTGCAAAAGAAACATGGAATACCAGTCACTAAATGAAATTTATAGTTGAAACCAAGTGAAAAACCCATTTTGATTAGCACATTTTACACCTCATAAGATACATGCAGAATAAGTTCATATGTTACCTCACAAAGCTTTTTGATACATTGTTGGATGAATGCCTTGTCATGAAGGGGCCTGGGATCCTTTATCTTTTCTGTCCCAAACACACCGTACTGACTGTTGCGTGACCCTCCAGCACCACTTATTCTAAGGACAGATAATAAATACAGGTCTTGTGACAATACGTAGAAAGAAGAACTCTCTTCAAGTCACAACAATTGCTATGTTTATGTTTTCTTTGCATTTGTTATACAAAGTGTTCCTTGAAGTTTTTTCTTCATTTAAGGTCACTGGAAAAACATCATCAACCTGGAAGCCACAATGCCACACATACAACAGAGGGATTACTGCATCCTAGATTAATACTTTCTTCATTTTATTGAATGAAATAAACTTCTAGAGAGCAGAAAAATACCCCAAAGATGAAGAAAAAATAATGTTCGTGACTGTAAATAAAATCTGAAATATGTAAGGAATATTTAAAAGGAATAGACCCCTGCAACACTGGAGTACTATCAAGAAGTTACAACACAGAGAGTCATGAGCTAAGCAGAAAGATTATAGATTTTTGGAAGGTTTGTATCTTAGAGAGAGGAAACTAATGCAGAGTATACTTCAGATGTCATTCTTCCTTAAACAAGAAAATGTACTGAGATACTCTTAAGGTCTGCAGTGCACATCATTCCCAAAAGGAAAAAAAGCCAGGTCTCAAAGCAATTCCTGCTTCACACATTATTGTTTAGTGATCAAGGACTGAAGGAAGGCAGACCTGAAGGTCTGCTTGCCTCAGATCCATTATTCCCTATAGTGAACATCTGTCAAGAAAAATACCAAAATTAGAGGACCATTTTTGTTTTAATTTACAGTGCAGAGAACAAAAGCTATACATACCTGTTGCCAAAACAGCTGACTTTTCTTTCTGAAGCTCCAGATGTAGGTTTGCTTGTGCTCAGCTTCCGAAAGGTGCTTCTGTCCTTCCTGAGGAGCAGAGAGAAGGATTCAAGTGACTATTTCCACCAATTCATCTTTTGCTCATACAAGAGCTATACACAGACTCATATATTCCTAAGCACCTTCATCCCAGCAACATCTTGGAAAGGTCAAGTCAACTGATGCACCCAGCCACCTCTTAAGAGACATGTGACAAAGTGTTACCGTTTGAAACGTGACATAGGTACATAAAAATAAAGCAAGTATTTTTGCAAAACTGGAGCACGTGTGTAAACATCCTTGGCTGTAAGGAGCCTTCTTCTCACTGTTTCAATTTTTTTCCCCCTCAGTTGCTGTTCACACTTAAACACACTATGACAAATCTCTTCAGAATTAGTTTTATATACTTATTTTTAGCAACATGACCAGCAAGACTTACATCTGAGGTGTTTGAAGGCCCATCTTGTTGCTGTCCTGCACTCTCAGTGCCATCATAGATTGTCGACTGCTGCTTCCAGCAATACTTGAGCTTCGCCTCATTTTGACTCTACTGTAAACCACAAGCCCTCAGTATTCCAGCAGTATCAGAAAATCCAGGGTATCTTTTCTAAATGACACAATGATTTTCCAAAGGCTCAGAATAAACAAGTAGACCTGTGCATGGAACCAAAAAAAAAAAAAAAATTAGAAAAAAGATTATGTTAGACTCTAGAAATATATAAGAGCAATCACAGCCTTTTAAATTAACCATTCTATTAATAAAAGTGTCAGTGCTTATTCCAAACCTATTGGTTTGCCTTTCTTTATATTTGGCCACTTCAAACATATAGGTTCCAGAAACAAAAGAGCTTGAGAAATTTTTCTGTTCAGTCCACTGGGAAAAAGGCCACACTACCACAAGTACTGCTTATAGCACTTCAGTCATACATCAGATCCTGAGCTGCTCATTCTGTGCCTACCCATTCATCTGCAACTGATCTCCCAGTATTATAGCACAATAACTGAAAAACCTATTCTAAGATAATACTATGGCTCCCTTCAGACTATATATGCAGAATATCAATCAAACTAGAATATTAATACCATTGTCCCCACTGTGGCATTAAGGGAGAATTTGAAGTACACAGAATTAAGTCATGAATTAGTCACTAATAAAAAAACTTTCAATTACAGACATTACCAAAACACATTATTAATATAAACTGTTGCTTAATTTTTCTTCTAGTTGCACCTCAAAAACCACAACAGAAGTTTAGCTCAATCTCAATTCATAGGGCAGCACATTCAGGACCTCACTCTGTCTGAGGAAGAATCTGCGTTATTCTATCACTTTAATTGGGGCCAACCACAGAGAGAATGAATTTTCACAATCATAGCAAGAAAATAGCTTCTAGAATAACAGAATAATTAGGTTGGAAAAGACTTGCAAGATCATCAAGTCCAACTTATGACCAAACACCACCTTGTAAGCTAGACCATGGCACTAAGTGCTACATCCAGCCTTTCCTTAAACACGTCCAGGGACACTGGCTCCACCACCATGCTGGGTAGAAGTGGTGGTTGATTGAGCAACAAACATACTCGTTCATGACAGCAGTCCATTCCAGAGTATAATTGCCTTTTCTGTGGAGGAATTCCTCCAACTGTCCCACCAAAGCCTGGTGCAGTTTGAGACCGTGTCCTCTCACTTGTTGCCTGGGAGAAAATCCTGACCTCACCTGGGTACAGCCTCCTTTCAGGTGGTTCTAGAGTGATAAGGCTCCCCAGAGCCTCTGTTTCTCCAGGATAAAGAACCCCAGCTCCCTCAGCCACTACTCACAGGACTTGTGAGGAGCTTCCTCAGCTCCGTTGCCCTTCTCTGAACTCGCTCCAGCCCCTCAATGTCCTTCCTGAACCGAGGGGCCCAGCACTGGCGGCGCGGCCTCACCAGTGCCGCGAACAGGGGTCTGTCACTGTCCCGGTCCTGCTGGCCACACTGCTGCTGACATAAGCCAGGACGCCGTAAGAGCAGAGTTTGAGCAGAGATTTAAGAACAGTTTGCCAGAGCCAACACGCCAGCAGGAAAAAGAACCCCAAGAAAGCGTCAAAGCGCGGCAGAGCTGGGCGCAGCTCCCCCGGCTCGCCCGGAGAGCGCGTCTAAACCATACCGAAGGCGAGCGGGGACTCAGCAGCGACTGCGCAGCCCGGGCTCAGCGCCGCCGCACGGACACGCGTCCCGGGGGTGAAGCGGTGAGGCTGCTGCTCCGCCGCCTTCCCGCTCCCGGCCGCACGGACACGCGTCCCGGGGGTGAAGCGGTGAGGCTGCTGCTCCGCCGCGCTCCCGGCCCGGCCCTGCCGTTAGCGCCAGCGCCGCCGCCTCGCCGCGAATTCAAATCCGCCCGCCCGGACGTCGCGCGGGGCGTGCCACGGAAGTGCGTCACGGCGGGGCCGCGGGCCGGCGGCGCGGCGGGCGGGCACGGGCCGCGGCCATGGAGGGAGGAGGGGCCCAGCGCCCGGAAGGGCTCGGGGCGGGACCACGGCAGTACGGCGGCGGCGGGGCGCCCGCGGTGAGTGTGTGCTCGGCGCTGCCGGCCGCGGCGAGCCCCGCACTTTTCTCCAGCCGCCGAGAGTTTTCTTGGGGAAAAGCCCGAGCTCTCGGTCCCTGTGTGCCCGCGGGAATGGGCAGCGCTGGGACCGTGGCTGCCCTTGTTCCTGTATTACTGCTCCCGGGTGCTGTCATAGCGATCCATGTCTCTATATGTATGTGCGTATATATATATATATCTGTGCGTGTGTGTATATATATGCATATATGTCTCTATATGTATATATACACATATATATGTATATATATCTCTATATGTATATATGTATAAATATGTCTCTATACATATGTATATATGTGTATATATATGGTGTGTCTGTGTAGATATAGTGCATGCATATATATATATGCATATGCATACAGAATATATGTGCGTATATATGCATATATGTATGAATATGCATAGCATACGTGTATACATAGTATGTGCATATATATAGTATATGCGCAGTCTATATAGCGTATGTGTAATGTGTAGTAAAGGTATTTAGTGTAAATGCATGTATATGTGGTGTACATACAGTGTATAGATATACACACATGTCATATAGTGTTAGGCATAATGGGTGTGTCATAGGGCTGTTTTCTGAGTAAGCGCATACTGTATAAAAATATAAAAAGTCATATAAAATTCAGCTACTGTTAAAAAAGTAGTGGTATAGGGATGAACATAATGGGGAAATCAGCTGAAGTCAGAAGTTTCAGCAGTGTGCCCTCTGTGTGCATGGAAATGTTTGTTAGAAGGTAGGTGCAAATTTATTAAACAGTGATAATTCTGTTATCTTTTATAATTCTTATAAAAATTCCCACAGGAGGAGGTTTCTCCAGGAAGTGTGAATGGTTGGTGAAGGCTGGCGTTTCAGGGAGCTGATTTTTCATCCTGAAAAAGGGAGTTACAATGTCTGTGGTACATCGTCTGACAGCGGGATGGCTTGTGGATCATCTCTCTTTCATCAATCAGTGTGGCTATGAGATCTGTGACTCCCTTGCACACCCAAGTAGTGTCACTCACAATACTTCTGTCACATCTACTGAAGACTGTCACAATACTTCTACTTTTGCTGCCACCCTCTCATCAAGTGAAGGTCCTTTTTATGGTCGTGGAGGTGCTGTAGAAACAGAAGGTAAAAGAGCAAAAATGAGATACGTGTTTCGGGAGGAGTTCTTTGATATTTCTAAGCCCCATATAGCTGCAGCTTCTGAGGAGCAGCTGCATCAGGGATGCCCTGAGGTGAGTCTGACAGAAATAAAGGCCAACAGCAACAGAGAGGAATACCAAGAAGGATCAAAGGGTCACACTGGAGATTCTCTTGCCACTGCTAGGAAGGTATGTTCTCTGTAACACAGTAAATTACAGTAATCCCTTGATAAATAATATACTAATACTGTTTTGCATACCTGAGTCTTTTAGGTAGTGTAGAAGAGCGGGAACTTTTGGGGATATTCTTGTGTCCCTCATGTCAGTAATGTGCTTTTTGTGTCTCATAAGCGGTGGATTGCTCCTGAAATCTCCTGACACTGGTTGTGGTCAGGTACACAGTCTGAAGCCGTGGTAGCTGTTGAGATTGTGCAGATTAGCAAGTTGGGAAGACAGTATGAATTTACTTTCAGTGTTGTTCAGTGCTGTTCCATATGGTCAAAAGAAAATAAGAGTCACTACTCTAAACCAATAAATGTAATCATGAAGACATACTTAATTTTTTTCTTTTATTGGTATATCTGCACTTGACAGCTGCCACTTTTAGTATGGGCCCAAAGGAGGCATGAGCACAAACTGTGCACTAGGTACCTTCAGATACTAGTGCCATGAATAAGTTAAACCAGCTTTAACCTATGTACCTTGTGAATGCCTCCAGCAGGTTAGGTATTTTCAGATCTTTTTGCTTATTTGACTTGTGATAGAAAAAGAGATGGAAAATTTCTTCTGCTTTTAAAGAGTTAATTTGTAATTCAGGTATGTTTGATTTTTTTCCCTTTTATTTCATCATGGAATGATATGGATTTTGTTGTTGTTGTTGGTTTTTGCCAATTCTGCAGAAACGTAAAAGGAAATGTTTATTCAACCAAGGTGAACTAGATGCTTTGGAATACCATTCAAAGGTAAGTTGGAAAAAATATTTTTTGCAAGTACAAGCTATTTGACTTTGGGCCTGTGGAGAGCGGAGGGCATGGGTTACAAACAGATTCTGGTTTTGTAGCTTGTTCCACTGGTGCAAAGAAGGAAAGGGAAAGGAAAGTTCATCTCTCCAATCCTTATTTAAATTCATGCTTACACCATAAATCTTCTATGTAGATACATGTGAAATTGTATCTGAGACATTACAAAGAGCTGGAAGCTGCATTCACAAAGTAACTTGGACAGTTATAGACAATTGAACATTGTGTTGTGATTAGTTGAATATTAGGAATTAGCTGACTTGAAATTGGCAACATAACCTGTTCTGAAGATCAGCTCCTCAGTGTTTCAGGATGCTGTGCTGGAGTTACTCAACACTTTGGTGACCAAATGTGCTTCAAAGTATCTTATTCTGCAATTGAAAAAAAATTAATCCTTCTCTAACGTTTTATATAATCCTACTAATGAATGATTGAATTGGAATTCAAGTCTGTGTGCTTATATAGGTGGTGTACTGGTGAAGGTGCAGCCGAGTTACACTGAAGCATAGTAGTGAACTGTAGCAATGTAATATGTAGGTGATGTTTGACGTATTCTTACTGCTTGCCCAATAGTGATGCGAACCTGAACTAGGAGCTACACTTGCTTTCTTTCTCTTGACAAAGGTTTAGTCACATTGGGCTTTTTGCATAAATCTGTTCTGCTTGAACTACATTTAGATGAGGATACTTTTTTCTTTTACATGGCAACAATCTTGTGGTAAACTTGCAGCTTGCTGATACACTGTAGAGGTCCTGTGAGTATTTTCGTGAACGAGCTGCGCATGTGCAGAATCACATTAAAGGAGAAAACTTTGACGTTTAGCATCAACATGAATATGAAAACGTTAAAGCTAAAATAAAATAATTAAATAATAGAAATAAGGAAAGAAATGAAGATAAGAAGTTTGATGCCTTGGAGGCTTGTGTAACGTTGGTGATACTTGCTGAATATGTGGAAAAGAGAGTTTGGAAAAATCTGTGACTCCAGGTAGCCTCTTGTATCATTCACAGATTAGAAAGTGTTGGATTATTACGATATTTGTGTTATTAAATGCTATAGGTCTGCAAATTAACCCAGATTATTTTGGCACTTAATTGTATTTGTAGACTCATCAAAAATAAACCCAAACAATCACAATTTTATTTTTGCAAGTGAATCTATGAATTTCAGCTGTTGAATCCATTTATGAATTTCAGTCAATGTCAACATAGGGAACAGTACAAAATATGCTAAATTCCTTCAGCAGCCATTTGTAAAACCTCCTGCTTTGATTGCTTCATAGTTAAGAGACTGTCCACCTGTGAGTTAACATGTGTGTAAGAAGGTATACTTTCTATAGATATGTTTATTAATTCTGTTAAAACAGTATGAACTTTTCTTATCACAAACCTAGGTACTAAAAATTTATGACTCTGTACACTCTGGTATCTAGAGGTGGCACTATTAAATTATTAAAAAAAATCTTTTTCTTCCCCTGCCACTAATCTGGGAATTGTAATAAAGTGCATTTTGTAAAACCCTCTTGTAATCTTGAAGATTCTGTAATCAGAAGCTTTTGAAACCATGGTATGTATTTGAAACCTTTAATAAAGCCACTGTAACTGACAATGGGCCAATGGATAAACTTACCTCACTGAATCAAAAGTCATAAGGACTTCATGATTTGGAAATAAAATGGGTCTCTAAATTTTGTGAAGGGGAGGTGCTGACTCCCTGGCAGGTGAATGACAGTGTATATACATCCAAGACTCATGTCATCATGACTAACTAGGCTTTTTTTTTGCCACTTAGGACTAAGTTGCAAAAATCAAATTCTGATTTACTGATTGTACTTCAGTATGACTATAAAATGCATAAACTGTTGTTTTATGAAGTGAATTGAAATGTGAAAAATGACTGATTTTTAGATCCCAGTATACATTTCAATTAAAAAGATGTTCACGGGCACATTAACTTGAAATTAAATTAGAATTTTAAATTAAACTTCAGATAATTGCTTTGAAATTTGTGTTTGGTTGAAACAATGATATTCCACATCTGTTGTCTGAAATGTGTTACTCAGTTTCTCCCTCTTTCTTTCTCCAGCCTTCTAATTATTCCAACTTTACCAAAAAATGAAAATCAACAACAGAAGTTAGTGTGATGTCCTGGTTTTGGCTGGGATAGAGTTAGTTTTCTGCTTGGTAGCTGGACAGCTAATGCAGAGTTGGACTGGGACTGCTGAAAATGAAGAGTAAACCTAAGACTTTTTAAAAGCCCCAGAGTCAACATATTGGATGCTAAAGGTAGATGTGTTGCCCAAGTGTCTGCACCCAGATGCAGCTACTTTGTCCCTTCCAGCCTGGTCATGATAGATCAGGAAACATCAAAGATTCTCATTTTGTGTTTAGCATGAGGATAATGTTGACAGCAACAATTCAGACAACAGTGTGTTAAACTGTGCCTACCCTAAGTCAAGGAGTTTTAAGTTTCCCATGCTCTACCAGTGAGCAGATGCACAAAGGAAGCTGGGAGGGAGCATGGCCAGGACAGGTGACTCGAATTGGCCAGAGGGATATTCCATGCATAGGATATCATGCTCACTATAAATGAAGGGAGTTGGCCAGGAGCCATGG